CGATGGCGAGACATGTTTATTTTTAATGCTTTTTTATTACTTATTATTACACAGAATTGTTGGGGCTGGCGATTTATAGAACAATTTTTTCTCAGACTTTCGATTTTGACATTTGCCAGCTTTAATGAACATTGAATGACCCCAGAAAGAAATAAAAAGCTCTGCTGAGCTCCGTTGCCAGGCCATTATTCCATTTTGTTTCGATTAATAAGGCTTGTCTAAGCATAATTTTCCACTACACCTTGAGTCCGTCAGAGGTATGAATAATTTAAGAAATTAAAATTTTTATTCACCTATTAGCTAATATCTTCGAGGCCGGTCAAACAAATTTAATACTCTTTACAATTTTGCTCTTTTATTACAGCTGTAGTTAAAATGGAGTAATCTATAAAGACAAAGTCAAGGCAGTCAGGTGGTTATTATACCCGTTACTCTTAGAGTAAAATGATATATTAGAATTGTCGGAAAGTATGTAACGTAAAGGGAAGACTTTCAGACCCTAAACAGTATATAAATTCTTGAAAAGGATTACTAGCCAAGTCGAACTAGCCATGAAGGTCTGTCCGTCCGTCTATCCGACAGTCCGTATGAACGCGGAGATTTCGCACTAAAAGCTAGAATGTTGGGATTAGGTTTTAGATTCTTAAGCAGATTCTTAATTCAGCCGGATGCCACTCCCACTCTAACACCCATCATGCTTAAACGCCTAAGGGCTTCAATTTTTTGGAAGATTTAGTAGAATTGTAAATGGGATTTGTTTTGATTGTCAATTCATCTTAATGCCAACAAATTTTAAAATCGAAGCATCCATTAAAAAGTTTAAAGAAAATAAAGAAAGCAACGTTGGGTGCGCAATTTTGGGAACAGTCGCTTTTCTGGTTGCATATCTCCATCTCCCTCGCACACTCCTCTGCTGAGTAACGGGTATCTTATAATCGAGATCATCTACCAAAGCGAATTCTTATTTTTCATTTTTTTGAGTCGATTTTAGTGTTATAAACAAGGAAGAACGCTATGGTCGACTACCTCGACTATCAGATACCCGTTACTCAGCTAAAGGGACCAAAAGGAAATGGAGATACGCGAGATTGGAATGCGCCACCTACCCGCGATCTCAATATATGGTTATGTTGGTGGTAGAAACACTTAAGCATTAAGGGCGTTAGAGTGGGCGTGGCAAGCTTTTTTTGGGTCAATCGATAGGTATTTACGAGCCTAATACATTTAAGTTATAATTGTTTTCTAGCATGGAAATTGTGGGCGCCACAGGTTTGAGCGGTTTTATGGCCGTTATAGTGGACGTGGCATATTCGCGTAGCAAACTTGCGCTGCGTACAATTATACGGAATCTAAATCTGAAATCCCAATTATCTATCTTTTATAGTTTCCGATATATCAGCGTTTATATTTACGATTTTTTGAAGTTTGTGGGCGTTAAAGTGGGCGTGGCAAACTTTTTTTTAGGTCAATCGATAGGTATTGATGAGACAAACAGTGGGCGTTGCACACTGACGAAACAAACATGCGCTCAGGTATCTCCAAATCCCAACTTTTGTTGTTTCCGAGATCTCAGCGTTGATACGGACGGACGGACAGACAGACGGTCATGGCTAGATCGAATTGGATAGTGATCCTGATCAAGAATATATATACATTATGGGGTCGGAAACGCTTCCTTACACCTTTTACATACTTTCCAACGAATGTAGTATACCCTTTTACCGCCATGAAAAGGATTTCAGCAGCTTAGCTTGTCTATTGCGACCTTAAAATAACGTTTATACTTATAAATTAACACAAACTTTTATCGCAGCAGAAAAATGGAAATAAAAACGAATTTTAAAAAATTACTGACTGAGATGATTAAATAAGAACGGGAAATTATAAGATGGGCACTCCAGTAATTTCTTAATAATAGTCGAGGGGATCGACTGAAGCATTTTCTCTTGTTTTTGTTTTAGTTTTTGAAAAATTAAGGAAAATGTTGTAAACTTATCTATTACTAAAACCATGTGTAAGGAACGAAAACATGGTATACAGATATGCAGTTTAAAAGTTAAGTTCTTATTTGGTTGTGACAAAATGGTGTTAGAATCTTTTCTACCACTTTTAAGAAAAGCTTCTTAAGCACGGACAAAGTCGCGGCGGGAAAGCTAGTTTTTTATAAAAATCAAAGGACTATTTTAAATATTTGTCATAGAACAACTTAGTTAAATGAATGGGAAAACATTTGAAAAAAAATGTATGCTTGGTTTTTTTTCTCGCATGCTCTTATTTTCTGGTGTATACAACGGTTTATGCGGTTTCTGTAATAAACTTATCATTTAAATACCATGATTTTTTCTGCAAGAGTATACATTTTACAATATTTTATATTTCAGGGGACGACTATATCATATAAATTTGAGATACTTCTAAAACTTGAAAAATAATCATTTTATACAATTTAAAACCATTTAAAAGCCATGTTAGGCTATCTTATATACCTTTCTTGTTTTATAGGGTTTTACCATTAATACTACACGGGCCATGTATGTCCACATATATATTTCCATTCCAGTTTCCAGACTAACCAATATTAACAAAAGGTAAACAAGGTTTTTATTTATTTTTAGGTGCCCCAACCAACTGAAATCTTTTTTCATTCGAGTTGGGGGATGAAACGTAATTTTACACCAAAAGTCAGTCCTTAGTGTTAAAAGTTAATAGCCAAATGACAGGGAAAAGCCAAACGTGTCCCAACTTACAAAAGAATCCGCTTTTAAAATTACCTGCAACCTAGATGCTTTTTTGTTTAACTATTCGGATACAAAATACTCTTCGTCTGAGTGATTTTTATTTTACTCAAGAAATTTGGACTCATAAAGCAAAACAAGTTTAACAGCTAACTTTGTCAAAATATGATAAACTACTTTGCCGATCATTTCTAAGTGAACTATAATTTATAGTAGTCCGACACGGCTCGTTCCAGTACCGTGCACAGAAAGGTGTATTTTGTGAACGTTTGATCCCCATAGTTTTAAAACTGAGAGACTAATTTGCGTACAAAGTGACATACGGATGGAGAGAAAGACGGACATGGTTCGATCGACTCAGCAGTGATGCCGACCAAAAATATGGTTATATATACAAAAATTTAGAAGGTGTACTTATTTAGTAGATCGTATAATACATTTTCGTAACAAAAGTTGATATAAGAACTTTTGTTCGTTGAAAGTGCGATCGTCACTAGATTTAACAGTACATTTCAAACAATGTATACTTAAATACTTGGCTTAAATTAAACAAAATAGTTCACAAAAATTAATAAACAATAATTTTTTTAGTTATCGCATTTTGAAAAGAAACTACAAACGATTTAATGTCTCCAAATGCAGAAACAAAAATGTAGTTATCGTACAAGGTACTGTTATAAATATGATGTTGGCACTTTCATAATGCGCAAAAGATAAAACTCAAAGAACTTTTGCTAAAAACTTGCTAATACTTTATATATTTATCTGACTTGGGTTTCCACAAATCTTTGCTCTGGCACTGATGAACCACATATAAATTGAATAGGGTTTTCAATTTATGCTCCACTTTTTTAGTCAAAACAAGGAAGAACGCTATAGTCGAGTGCCTCGACTATCAGATACCCGTTACTCAGCTATATGGAGATATGCAAGCAGCAAAGAGAGATTAAAATGCGCCACCTACCGGCGGTATACAGATTTAAGCGTTATGGGCGTTAGAGTGGGCGTGGCAAATTTTTTTTTGGATCAATCGATAGGTATCGACGAGACCAATACATTTCAGTTAAAATTTTTTATCTAGCATGAAAATTGTGGGCGTCACAGGTTTTCGCGGTTTGTGGGCGTTAAAGTGGGCGTGGCAAACTTTTTTTTAGGTCAATCGATAGGTATTGATGAGAACAATACATTTCAGTTAAAATTTTTATTCTAGCATCAAAACTGTAGGAGCCACAGTTTTGGGCGGTTTGTGGGCGTTAGAGTGGGCGTGGCACTGTGCTGAAACAAACTTGCGCTGCGTAAGAAGCTCAGGAATCTGCACGCCAAATCTCAATAGCCTAGCTCCCATAGTTTCCGAGATCTCAGCGTTCATCCGGACAGACGGACAGACGGACAGACGGACAGACGGACAGACGGACAGACGGACAGACGGACAGACGGACAGACGGACATGGCTAGATCGACTCGGCTAGTGATCCTGATCAAGAATATATATACTTTGTGGGGTCGGAAACGCTTCCTTCTGCCTGTTACATACTTTCCGACGAATCTAGTATACCCTTTTACTCTACGAGTAACGGGTATAATTATCTTACAAACAAATTCTGCGAATTCTTAATATTATTGTAAATACATTGTCGGCTAGAAAAGAGAAATCGACTACAAATATTTGGAATTTTTGACATGATGTCATATTTGAAATTTGACTAGTAATCCCCTATTAAATTCTCCTGTATACAGACTGTTAACCTGTTAAAAAAATGTTTCCAGGTAAAAGGTAAACTATTTATGTCCAGTAAAAATTCAGAATGCAAGCTATCAATATCAAGATATTGAATACTTTTTGATAGAATTTTAAATAGCACACAGGCAAATCAGATTTATATAAATATCTCGCACAACAGTTTACATGTTACATACATTTGCACAAAGAAATAATATGAAACGTTATAGACAGTCACATATTGATAGTATTTGTTTTCTCTGCACCGTACGTACTATACACACAAAGTTACAAAATATGTAATATTTTAATTACATAATTTTCTGTAGTGTTATTTCTCTACGGTGTACAGGCTACTAATATTTTTTGCCTATGTCGGTAATCTCGTGATACCTCGCAAGTTTTACGAAAAACAAAAAAAAATCAATTGGAAGTTTTCTATTTAGTTCATTGGAAAAATAATGCTTGCGTGAATCTTGTAATTTTCTTTGTAGTAACGTTAAAAAAATATAGGTACAAGGCAATGTAAACCAGCTGAAACATACCTGCAAGGTTTGCACCATTGATTCTGTTGATCCAGACCAAATCGGGCTCGGCATTTTTTCATATTGTTACCTAGGGAAATGAAGGTAATTGTAATTTTAAAATGGTATAACATATATATTTGTGAAATTGTAAATGATTTGTTAGTAAGCTATGTTTCAATAATTAGTGATGTGATTATAAACAAAAACTAATATGGGTTATCTCGCTAAAAACACGTTAAGCCAATCATCTAAAAATATATTAATTGCAAACGTACAAAACAAAGTTTACTCTTTCAACTGTTTTAGAAAACCATGAAACGTACTTCACTTATAGAATACAAATATTTAACGTACTTAACGTATTTAAGAAAAGAATACCTTAAAGAATACCCTAAAAATACATGCATGCGTTGCTGGTACTTTAAAATTTTCTTAAATTTACAACTTACTAGTGATATCTTATACATGCAATATATAAATTGTACGAGTATTATAAAAAGGTAAATAATTTTTACATTTCCATGCCACTTAAGTAAATATTTAAATTCAAATTGAACACACGTTTTTTGTACAGATATAATTTTTTTTTATAAAGTTTGAGAATCCGGTTTCTATTGAATTTTGAATACTTGTATACCGACAATAGTTCATGTATGTCGCTTGCCAATCTTTATGATCCAATATATTTTTCGAATTCAATTCCGATTTAAAATGCGATTTTATGAGTAAATGAGAATGTAATATTTACACACATGAATTTTATAGAATAAATTAAAATTAAATCAGGTCTCTATCAATATTCTCATATTTGACATTGTTAATATTAAATTGTTCTTTTCTGGCTTTAAATAAACTGACTTTATTTCATAGAATAGTTTATGAAAATGTATCTAACCTCCGTCGTTGGTATCTTGCTTCCGCTTCCGTTTCTTGCCCCGAGAGGCATTTGTACGAGAGCTCCAATCGGGATACATTTGCATGTGCAGTTGTCGCTCCCTTCGCGCCAACTCGTAATACTTCGCTTGCTCTTCACGCCCCAAGGCATGCCACTGGGTGTGGGATAAACGCGATGTTTCGCGAAAATATAATATATAATAATAATATGCAAGATGTATCGGTATTATGAAATACATAATCAGCCAATTCAATGATTTGCTTTTAAGTGTATGTGTTTAAACAGGGCTTTAAATACCAAAAATTTGGCACATAGTTTAAACTATGTCTATTTAAAGCTAGGGAATAATGCCAATAAATCTCACGTACAGAATCTTCCTAAATTTTGGAGCCTAGCCCGAGGTTAACAACAAATTCATTCAAAAAGCCAGACTCTCAATCTTTCATTTCAGCCTTGTCTCTTATACATTTGGGCAATGTTTATTATTATATGGTCTCAAATTTAATTGTTTTTATTAATATTTTTAATTTTTTCAATTGAACTGTTTAATTTTTCTAGTTGTTCTCGGGTGAAACATTTTATGTGATAGAATTCTTATTTCATATCTATGAGTCTGAATCTAAAATACGGTTAGGCCATTGCTTAGGTCTGAAAAATTAGGGTATTGTAATTTAATCAAAACAAGGAACAACGCTAAAGTCGAGTGCCTCGACTATCAGATACCCGTTACTCAGCTTAAGGGACCAAAGGGAAATGAAGATATGCAAGCAGCAAAGCGAGATTGAGATGCGCCACCTACCCGCGATCACGATATATGGTTATGTGGGCGGTAGACTGATTAATTTGGGTCAATCGATAGGTATTGACGAGACTAATACATTTCAGTTTAAATTTTTTTCTAGCATGAAAATTGTGGGCGCCACAGGCATTTGTGGTTTGTAAGCGTAAGGGTGGGCGTGGCAAACTTTTTTTTTGAATCAATCAATAGGTATTGACGATACTAATATATTTTAGTTAAAAATTGCTATTTAGCACGTAAATTGTGTAGGTTGGGCGTGAAATCCAGAAATCTGAATTCTCTATCTTTGATAGTTTCCGAGATATCCGCGTTCATATTTGCAATTTTTTGAAGTTTGTTGGCGGCTTATGGGTGTTAAAGTGGGCGTGCCAAACTTTGGGTCGATCGATAGGTATTGATCAGAACAATACATTTCAGTTTAAGTTTTTATTCTAGCATCAAAACTGTAGGAGCCACAGTTTTGGACGGTTTGTGGGCGTTAGAGTGGGCGTGGCACCCTGCTGAAACAAACTTGCCCTGCGTAAGAAGCTCAGGAATCTGCACGCCAAATCCCAATAGCCTTGCTCTTATATTTTCCGAGATCTCAGCGTTCATCCGGACGGACAGAAGGACATGGCTAAAATATGACTGCTCGTGCGTTGCTTTTATTTGTTTTGCTGATTAGACGACAAAATTTGTACTGTAGTTGAAAATTGTTTTCTGCAATGTGGTGAAGAACACCACTCGTGTGGCAGAATTTGTGAGAGTTAACCCGTAATGCATGTACTAAGGTACTGGTTTAATTAAGAAATATTTTTTACTTCAGGAGTTCAATAAAATGGATATGCCACGGACCACAAATTTTTTTTCTTAAATCCTTTAAAACTTGTTAAATCTTATACATACGTTACTCAGCTATCGTTCATTCCTATCGGCTGTTTACGAGATTTCATGAACACGCCACATAACGTGAAACTTGGTAAGCATCCGATTTTCCGTATGAATATATCTCCTTCCCTCTCGCACTGTATTAAGTTTGCTAATTATACCCCTTTACTCGTAGAGTTGAAAGGTATACTAGATTCGTCGGAAAGTATGTAAACGGCAGAAGAAAGCGTTTCCGACCCCATAAAGTATATATATTCTTGATCAGGATCACTAGCCGAGTCGATCTAGCCATGTCCGTCTGTCCGTATGAACGCTGAGATCTCGGAAACTATGAGATAGGCTATTGAGATGTGGCATGCAGATTCCCGAGCTTCTTACGTAGCGCAAGTTTGTTTCAGCCATGTGCCACGCCCACTTTAACGCCCACAAACTTCAAAAAATCGTAAATATGAACGTGGATATCTCAGAAACTATCAAAGTTAGAGAATTGGGATTTCAGATTTAGATCACGTAGCCTTGTACGCAGTGCAAGTATGTTACGCGAAAATGGCACGGCCACTTTACCGCCCACAAACCGCCCAAATCTGTGGTGCCCACAATTTTTATGCTAGATAAAAAATTTTAACTGAAAAGTATTAGTATTGTTAATACCTATCGATTGATCCAAAAAAAAATTGACACGCCCACTCTAACGCCCACAAACCGCCTAAGCCTGTGGCGCCCACAATTTTCATACTAGAAAAAATGTTAACTGAAATGTATTAGTCTCGTCAATACCTATCGACTGACCCCAAAAAAAGTTTGCCACGCCCACTCTAACGCCCATAACTCCTTAGTCTGTCTACCGCCCACATAACCATATATTGAGATCGCGGGTAGGTGCCGCATTTCAATCTCGCTTTACTGCTTGCATATCTCCATTTCCCTTTGGTCCCTTTAGCTGAGTAACGGGTATCTGATAGTCGAGGTACTCGACTATAGCGTTCTCCCTTTTTTTTGTATTATTGTTTGGTTATATTATTGATTATAAGAACAAAACCTCATTAACATTCTTACAAAATATTAAAAAATTTGAGCGCCATTCGAGTTTTAGGGTTAGAGTGGTCTTGGCACCCAGCTGAAACAAACTTACGCTGCGCAGGGAGCCCAAGAATCTACATGCGGTCATGGCTAAATCGACTCGGCTAGTGATGCTGATCAAGAATATATATACTTTACGGGGTCGAAAACGCTTCCTTCTGTTACATACTTTCCGACGAATCTAGTATACCTCTTTACACTACGAATAACGGATATAAAAATGTATGGGCTGATTCGTTTGACGCTTAATAAAATCGCAAAGGTGGGTCCGTAAATATCCTTAATTAGTGTTTTTGTCTGCTCTAGCAGCAATTTAATCAAAATCACCTATATACCAAATATAAGAGCTCTACCCTCAAATATGTTTCATTGAAGAAATCCGTCTTGGCCAGGGACCCAAGTTCGACGCAGTGAGTCATATTTTAGTATAAGACTATTATAGGTGGTGTGGGTATAAGATAAATGAAATAAGTTCGGAGGGATAAGATTCCCACTGCGGTAAATGGATATTAATCAATAAAATCAATTTCAATTTACGTTGAAACAAAATCTTTAAAAATGAGTCAGCTAGACAGACAGTCAGGCGTGGCCCTTCGCTGAAACAAACAGCGCTGCTTAAAAGCCCCTAGCATCTGTATGCTTAATGCCAACTTTCTAGCTTATATATTTTCCGAGATCCCAGCGTTCATGCGGACAAACAAAGAAACGGACATGGCTAGAACGACTCGGCTAGTGATCCTGATCAAGAATATATATACTTTTTACGTTCGAAAACGTTTCCTTGTAAGTGCTGTACCAGTAAGGTGTATAATTAGTACGTTGCCGGTAGTTTTTTAAGGAGACCGAAAAAATAAAATACAGCTACGCGTTCAAGCCGACATTGACGTTTTCACTTCGAGATCATAGATTAAGTTGGATAAATTATTCAAGCACAACTATAACCTAACTGCAATTTCCGTCAACTCCTTAAGATCTTTTGTTTGAAAAGTAATAATAGTTTAACAACAAATTTCGTTTTTTTGTATATTTTTATTCAGGTAAAGTGGTCTTGATTACACTGCTAAAACTTCAATTCGATCGATATAGACAAAGATAGATATATTTATCGATAAAGATATAGACTTTAAAAGTTATATTCTTCAGATCGTTTAACCTGAAGTAACGAATTTCAATCGAGATTTTCTCGAAACCACGACTTGGAAGACAATGGAGACGATAACTCAATAAGTTATGAACATATTCAGCACCTCCAAATGCTGCCGCCACAAACTTTTCAGAATTGTGGCGTTAGAGTGGGCGTGAATGAACACTGGGATCACGGAAACTATGCAAGCTAGAAAGTGGGGATAAAGCATACAGAATCTACACTGGTCGGCATAAGTACTTTGACAAAACAAAAGTTAAATATACTCATAACTGGAACTTGTAAACTTTTGGCATCAAGGTGGAAGGTAATTTAAATACCGTTTGATTGATACAATACATTTCATAACCCATTCAGTATTTATTGAAAAGGACGAGTTTGTGTTAATCTACTTTTAAATCTAATTTATAAACTTTTTTCCTCGACTTGAAAACTTAAATTTTTTGATGCAAAAAGCTTCTTTAAACAAAAATAATAGTAACTGCAAAAAGAATTTTTCAAAAATCATTTTGCTTATATTTTTGCGGCTACTATTATTTTTGTTTGAAGAAACTTTATGCATCAAAAAATTTAAGTTTTCAAGTCGATGAAAAAAGTTTAAAAAGTAGATGTTTACACAAATTCGTCCTTTTCAATAAGAACTAAATTGGTTTAGAAATGTATTGTATCATTCAAACGGCATTTAAATTACCTTTCCATTAATGCCAAAGTTTACAAGAAGTAAGTTCAAACTATGAGTATATTTAACTTTTGTTTTGTCAAAATACTTATGCCGACCAGTGTAGAGTGCCACGCTCACTGTAACGTCCATAAACGCCAATAACTCTAAAATCCGCCTAGCGCCCACATTTTTGAAGATTTTGTTAAAACGTAACTTTAACGTGATTTTATTAGTCAATACCTACATTTTAATAATCATACCAATCGAAATATTATTTAAAAAGGTTTGAATTACTACAAGAAAAAGGAATTTCATGGTCAGTAGTGCCGCTACCATCCGCGAAAAAATAAATGGCCTGGAGTTTTATTATACCCGTTACTCGTAGAGGAAGCGTTTCCGACCGCATAAAGTTTTTATATTCTTGACCTGCAATACTGGGACTAGGCATGCAGATTCTAGAGATTCCTGCGCAGCGCAAGTTTGTTTCGTCAGTGTGCCACGCCCACTCTAATGCCCACAAACCGCCCCAAACTGTGGATCCTACAGCTTTAATGCTGGATTACAAATTTTGTTTGAAATGTTACGCGAATATGCCACGTCCACTCTAACGCCCAAACCAGTGGCGCAATTTACATGTTAGAAAAAAAATGTTAACGGAAATAAATTATTCTCACATATCGATTAACCCAAAAAAAAGTTTCGCACAGAGAGTGGGCGCACCCTAACGCACATAACGCTTAAATCTGTCTAGGCACATTACACTCTCGATTTGCTGCTTGCACACATGGTCTTTGGTCTCTTTAGCTGAGTAACGGGTATCTGATGGTCGAGGCACTCGACTATAGCGTTTTTCCTTGTTTTTAAATTGGTCAATAGACAAAACACTGATTCTTGTCTTAAAGTTAGTTAGCTGAGTATCTGGTACCTGATTGTCGAGGCACTCGTTTTTGGTATTTTGTTTTTTTTTAATTGCACTTCGAATGATCCCTCATTTGTTAAGATCCTTTTAAAAGTTATTCCAAAAACAAGATTTTGAGGGATTTAAAATAATAAAATTGGTGACGGTTTGTTTGTCAAAAACGGCAGTCTATGGTCTCTGGAATCACTTTTATTGTGTAAACAATCTTCAGTTTCAAGGCTTTAGAAAAGGCCCGTCATAAAACTGGGGTCAAGAAAATAGAAGTTCCACCGCCATTCATATTCAAAAGTTTGCTGATGTAATTTATCTTTTCCTGTTTATATTTTGTTAAATATATTCATACCATTGGACGAATTGGATAAGATAAATGACAGCAACCAACTTAAAAAGATAAAGGGCGGGGGCACTACTATTATTTCTACCCTAGATGTATGGTATGACTACGTCTTTTTTACTCTTATAACTCGCTTAAAAGAAATCATAAAATTATTTTGAGTATAAGGTTCGAAAGATAAAGAGTTACAATTTTCGAATGATTTGACAAACTAAGAACTCAAGAATACGTTAGTATGTAATTGCGGATAAAATATAGCAAGAAACAGCTCTTTACAACGTTGACGTTAATTTTCTCAAAATCTGTGCGTAGGAGAACATTTTCGTGAACATTTAAAAAGGTCGGTTTAATCTAATGAAAAGAAATTTTATATGTTTTTACCCGTTACTCGTACTGATTCGTCGGAAAGTATGTAATAGGTAGAAGAAAACGTTTCGGACCCTATAAAGTATATATATTCTTGACTAAGGTGGTGCTGTATATATTGGTAGCTCTAGTATGAAAAAGATGTATAACAAATAAACATACTTATATATGTATCAAATATTAAAAAAAAAATTGAATAAATAAACAGCTATTACCTTAAACTAAAGCTGTTTATATTGGTAGCTCTCGTATGAAAAAGATGCATAACAAATGAGCATACTTATATATGTATCAAATACTTTAAAAAAATATGAAACAGCGATTACCGAAAACTAAAGCAAACCCGCTTCGAGTTAAGTTTAATCAAATTTTTTCCACCACTTTTTGAAAAACACCCTAATTTGTCTAGAAATTTTCGAATATCCACACTTTTAGAAAGTTTTTTTTTGATACAACATCATTTTACGTCACAAAAGTTGATTTCAAAACTTTTGTATCTTGAAGGTGCCATCGTCACTAATTTTTTACCTCGTCAAGCGGGGGTTAAGTTTATTGTAAAGGGACAACCAAAAATAGTTAGCGCCCTACATCTGTCGTATATTTAGGCCTAATTCAAAAAATTGTCTTATTTTAAGAGTTTATCTAGTAAATGAATCCAAAAAACCCATTTTAATTGTACACATTTTTAAATTTTATTATCGTCGATTTTAAGTACGAGCGACTAACGTATTTCTCGCGAAAATTCTTTTAAAAGTTTAGACATATATGATGCTCTTAAAGCTTTTATAACTGGCACACTTTACTTGGTTATAACTCTTTAAAAACATTAAACAATTTTTGGCATGTATGTATTTACAAGTCTCTTTCAGCAAAGTGCCACCCTCACTTTAACGCCCACAAACAGTCCAAAACTGTAGGTGCTACAGTTTTAATAGTGTAATAAAAAATGAATTGATATAATTATACAGTACCTATCAATTAACCCAAGCAAATGTTGCCAAGTCCACAAACTCCCCATAAACCTTTAAAAAAAATGTCAGTATAAACGATGAAATCTTGAAAACTTTAAAAGCTGGAAAGTTGGGATCAATCTAGAGATTCCGGTGCTGCTCAAGAGCATGCCTCTTGTCAATACCTACATGCCGACATGCCAAAAACTGTTAAAATCTTTACCTTTTAATAATGATTTCACGCCCGTATCTAGCAAAAACATCGTCAATGACGTCACACCCAGTAGATAAAAGTGTATATTGTAAAAATGTAAAGTAGATACAATGTTAAAAGTATATTTATTTGAAAGTTGGTTAGCTGAATAACGGGTATCTAATAGTCGAGGCATTCGACTCTAGCGTTTCCTCTTGTATAATTTTCTGTTCTGCTCTGTATACACATTGCTCCCATACGAACTAATGATCGTTCGTTCCTTTCTTGATCTACTTGTTTTCGGATCGTTCTTACATAAAATTTAAAATGGTCTGAATTAAAATACAAGAATTCGAAAATGTATACAAGTCTACGAAATGAAAATCTCGATATAAAACTTCGTAAATACTATTTTCCGCGTCTCATGTTATATAAATATTTTCACTTCGTAAGCTTTTCGATTGAAGTTCATAATAGGGTTTGACCATAATAGTGATAGTAAGATAGTTTTGTCAAAAACTACCAAATGCAAGAAATATGTTTTAAAGAAGTTCTTTAAAAATAATCGTTTTCTAATACGATATATTTTAAAGCTTGGACTGATCGATCTTCAATACGGTTTCGGGCGCATGCTTTTGCCAATTCTATTCCAGATGCCCAAAGTAGATTAGGTTAATAATTTACTGTTGGTTGCCAGATTCTTAAACAAAGAATCGGTTGAAATAAAAACGTATAAGAAAATATCATGTTTTAAATATTTTTACTAAGCTTTTAGTAAAATTCTTTTGCCAATTTTTTTTATTAGCGTCACTATTTTACAGCCAATCCGTTTAGAAAATTCCTAATTTAAAAATACTAGCAACTAGTTTTTATCTGTTTTTCAAGTTCTGAAAAAATTAAGGGGGCCGTAAAAATAGCTTAGTACGCAAGAATTCCAAACGAACTCGCCGCTAAGTAATTTCCGTGGCACCCCCGATTGTAATAATATAAGATCTATTAAATAGTTTCCTTGCATAAAATCAAAATTTTTTTAAAAGCAAAATAAAATTATATTTATATGTGAAATTTACGATTTTACAAGTTTGATATATTTAAAAGATAAGGAACATTTTATGGTCCTTCTAGTAAATGCCGAATAACTTTAATGTTGTTCCATTTGAGTTTCACAAGTTAATTGGCTGTAAGTTAGCGGGATTTGTTAATTGTGTTTGTGTTTTGTGTTCGTATATGAGTATTTAATCTTTATTGATCAATAAGTTTATTCCTAATGACAAAACTGCATTTAAATATTTAATAAAATTACCATACATGAATGACACATTCAGTTTCATGTCCCATAAAAGTAGATTAAGCCCATTACATAACACTTCTGATTTAATAATCTCACATCTCGAAATCCTATAACTTAAAATGTTTTGTCAAAGCTTAACTAAAATCTATGTTTGATACGAATTGGTTAGTTCATCGATCCCTATTTTTAAAAAAGGTTAAGATTACTATCTATGTTTACATTGACTAACTATGGCTAAACTCATCTAAGCTATTTTCAAATCTACAAAAGCAAAGATGTACATCTTCAAAATGGAGATACATTTTTGTACTCTTTTTAGGTACTTTACAATATTTAAATATAATTCAAGTATTTACACAAATTACATAAAAGTATTTTTATTTTGTTATTTCTAGTTTTAGGGTAGTTAGTTGTTGATGTTAGATGTGTGCTTTAAGGTGTATGTGTGTAGGTGATTTAATGAAATAATATAAAAGTGAAATGCAATAAAAAGAGGGAAAGTGTAACATTTTGAGAATTTTGTGCAGTACCTCCCGAATCCGTTGTCGATCTGTCTTTTTTTCGCTTTTTCTTTTTTGACACGTAACCATAGTTATCTCGTGCGCTCCACCCCGGATACAATTCCATATGTAATTGACGCTCTTGTCGAGCTTTTTCGTAATATTTGCTTTGTTCTTCGCGGGAAAGTTCGTGCCACTACAAAAGTATTATTAATAAGGTAATCCATTAGAAGCAGTTTGTATAATATATGTATCGTTTAAATCACATGTCTTATGTTTTTCATATTCCATGTGTCCATTTAACAAAATTCGCTTTAGCTTTGGCGCGCTTTACGAAAGCGACATTTTTTAGATCCCACAACTAATCACAATAGAATTTGGATCAAACTCACTTATATAAATCGAAGTTATGTTAATAATTGTCTTACCCGTCTTCCCAAAATCTGATTAATAGCAGCCGATTCTTTGAGTGTACATTCTGCAACTACTTTAGCACGCATTTCCTTCATATAAAGCATAAACGCATTTAGTGGTTTCTTGATATGGGGTTTTTTTTTATCATTTGATGTCTCCTTAGCATCGTTTGATTGTGTATTCGATGAGTTTTTTGTATCCAAGTTCCTAAAAAGAATAACGTAGTGTATAGTATTTATATTGTATACCCTTGCGGAGGACATTATATTGCACAAGTTTACATGGTCCCAAACGATTAACGGCAAATTATCGTTGGACCTCTGAATCACAAAAATGTTAAAAACTTTTTTTTCGATAGGAAATTTTTTTGGACTGATTGTGTATCATTAAAAATAAATTTATAGTTCCTCCAACGATATTGATCAGAACTATGATCTATTGAGTTTAAAATAAAACACAAGATTTCAAAATTGTGTGGATAAGATGAAATACAATAAAAGTACAAAATTTTACACTTAACAATAAAAAAAAAGCGCCTGTGGTCCAGGAGACCATTAATTTATGACCTATTACTTTAATGTTCTGTCCGTCCTTCTGTACTTTTCTTTAGAAACTGGTTTTAAATCTATCTGTATAACATTTTTTCAAAGGCCTTTTTTCTATTGCAGGTTTTATATATATAGGACAGATGATTATACCACATAGCTTCCTTAGAAATTATCGGAAAAGTAATAGAAATAATAGAAAATAACACTATCGACTTTTAGATACCCGATAACCGGTATATAATAAGTAATGTCGACAGGTATTGACAAAATAAAAACATCTTTAATTATCATTTAAATTTGAACCTCAAACTAATATAACTCAATAGATAATAACAATATAAAAGCATTAAAAGTCTAATAACAAAACTGTGGGTGCCACATGTTTTTCGATTGATGAGAGTGAAAGTGGCACCCGCTGCGTGGGCACCACTTCAATATGTTTGTCAAAACCCGAATCTCCAGTTGTTACTTTTTTAATATCTTGACGTTCATACAGACGGCGGAATACCTTCCTTAATTAAGGGTGTCACACAAACCGCCACCGTTTGTAATACCGACAGATGATTTGGAAACTAACCAAACATATTTGTCTGTGTTACAAAAGTATTGTTTTTCAAAAAAGCACCCGGACTGGGTGCTTTATCCATATTTATGTAACTTGATTAGAATATATTATACATAAGAAACAAGAAAAAACGCTTAAGTCGATGGCCTCGACTATTAGATACCCGTTACTCAGCCAAATGGATTGAGAGAGGGATGGAGATATACTTGCTGTAAATTTTGATTTTTCACTTACACGCCTACAGCGGCGTGATCACAGCGTTTATACGGACGGACAGACAGATGGACATGGCTAGATCGACTCGGCAAGTGATCCTTACGATTCCTTCTATTTGTTACATATTTTCCCACGAAAATACTCCACGAGTAACGGGTATAAAAATAATAATAAATTCCATCTAGCCGCTAAGCTACATATCGGACACAGCTTGCAGACTGCAAGAGTTCTATTAGTTACTATGAATGTTAAGGCAAGCAACAAGCAATATTGCTTTGCAATATTTGCGCGTGGTTAGAACTTTTAAATTGCAAAAAAGAACCGGTTTAAAACATTCTAGGTAGAGTTTTTAGAATAAAACAAAGGGACGGTGGAGTCTACATAGTTTCTGTGTTTCTATACATTACAGATTAATTTTGTTGTGCTTGTAATAAGGTATGGTGCCTAGCACGACTTTTTTTATGAAAACTAAATTTTAAGTAGAACTACATTTGTCCAGCAAAGTTTACTTATTAAACATATTGGGAATTATATAGTAATTATTTTTTTTTAAATGCTTGTAGTTAGATAACACTTTTTTTCCATTTTTGTAAATGTTTAGTATTAACTAAAAAGGAAAAAGGTATATGATATTCGTCGGACAGTATGTAACATGTAGAAGAAAGCGCTTTCAAACCTATAACCATCTCCCTCGCACTCCCCTTATTTAAGTAACGTGTATACGATAGTCGATGCCACCGACTATAGCCTTCTTTCTTCCTTTGAATTCTTTACTTCTGTATTCCTTTTTGACATCCGATCTACATGTTTTTTATAATGTATTTCGAAATTCTGATAAATTAAAAAAGTATACTCCTTAGAGTATGAAAATAGTTGTCCATTTTCTTAATAATAAAAAAACTAGCCTCGCCGACTCCAGCGCCCGCGTATCGCATAAAAGTCAAAGATTACAAGACTAAACGCCTCAAAATTACTACCCTACTACTACCTATTTTAAGAAAAAACCATTTGTATCCAAGGATCAGATTATACTTTAAACATTTTGTTTTATCTCATATTCAATACCTATCGGCACACCAAAAATGGTTTAATCGGACCTTAAGTATATGATAGTCGAGACACTCGACTATATCTTTCCTTTTTGTTAAATTGAATTACAAAATATAGGTAATATAAATTTACATGGGTTTTATCTTGGTTCCAATACTTAAGTCATACGGAGCATCTAGCATTGGTACAATTTCAGACTCGAGTGTTCCAGTATCTGCCGATAATGCGCAAAGTCGCGCCTTGAACATATTGGTTATAGAACGTTCCTGCGTGGTTGTCACAGCAATTTTAATTGAAGGTGTGGTCGTAGAAATTTGAGGCGCCAAATTTTCTGTTTTTTTTGCTGATTTTGGGGAAGTAAGTAGCTGGTAAGAGAATTCCTGATCGCCACTCCCCTTTATAGTTTTAGGTGTAGAAGAACCTGAAGTCAGAGTTTCAATACGCCTTGCAAATCGTGGTTTTCTCCGATTGTGACCTAATCCAAAGATTCCAGATACTATTCCAGTCGAGCAGCCACTGTTACTACTTGTCGAAGGTGTAGAAGGTGCAGTAGGAAATTCGGAAAAGAATGAAGGGTCCGTAATGACTGACACAGCTGAGCCTTCCCGATTGTTACTTAACATAATAGGCGATTGTGTTGCGACACTACAATTTTCTACAGCGTCAGTAAAGTTAGAAACAGATGTGGAAGTATCCGGCACGCGTAGCGTGTTTGCATTAGATGATGAAGACAATGAAGCATATTCTAAAATAATCTCAGCTGCAGTGGTACACTGTTCAACCTCCTCTTTATGCCGAAATCTCCGCTTATTAGTATGCCAAATGCAAGTGGGTATTAAAGTTGTTTCTTCGAAATCGCTCTTGACGCCATCACTGTAGACATCAGGTGTGGTGCTAGGCACACTAGATTGGTGCATATTAACAGCTGAAGCTAGTTGTAGTATTATATCCTCTATTTCGTTCAGTGTTTTAGGTTTTGTCGACCGGCTTTCAACTTCGAGGTTTTCAGGGTCAATACCAGTGGTTTTCTTAATTGAAAGCTCTCTTTCTTCAGATAATGCTATCGCAGCCAAAGCCATAATGGTGTGTGTTGGGGTAGGACTACATTCAACACCTTCTTCTGAAGTGAGTCCTAAGCGTTGTAAACTTCTACGGTAGTAGAGCTCAGCGCTGCTCCACTGATTATAAAGCCGTTTTACTTGTTCAAGTACTCTTTCAATTGACTTGCAATTCCCATCTAGTTGTCGCCCCACAGTTGCCTCAAGTGCTGAATCCGAACCATTATTTACATCGACGTGACATTGACGCACACTCAGGCTTTTCTTAAATTTTGCCGAAAGTACAGAAAGTTTTTCGAGTCTATTTTTAACGTCGATTAGTACGCTTTTGTTTTCCCGGATAAATTCACACGTATGTTGTAGGTCGTACTCATCTGTGCACTTCGATTCCTTACTTTGGATAAAATGATGTGCTTTATTTAAAACAGAATTACAATTTTCCAATTCCTGCATGTTTTTTTGCGCAGTCCTCTGATTTTTATGAACTTTAGTAAATTCAAATAATGGTTGATCCTCACATCTTGAGCAATTTTCCAAATCATTAGTTAACTCAATATTGTTATTATTATCTTGCGAGGATGGTGTTCGTGCCAGCTCATCTTGTCCAATCATGGGCTTCTTTAATCCTGCGAGATGAACCATATTTGGAGTCCTATCGGTAAATTTCTCCGACGAGAAATCTTGTTCTGCTAGGTGAGGCTGAAAAAGCCGTGCATAAAAAAGTTGCGTGGCCAAAAGCTGCTGCTGCGAGCATTTTTGTTGATTTAGCATACTATTAGTGTATATACATGAAAATAGTTCATTTTGATTGCTATACACCTCTTCTTGACAGCTTTCTGTTTCTGGTGCTGTTTGCCAATGCTGAGAAATAGCTTTCGGCTGGCGTAAGAGCAGTTCGGACAACGACGCTGCTATTCCTGCCGAACTTCTTGATGGGACAACAAAGATTTTTTCCAAATCATTGCTAGTACTATGGTCATTGCTAGTAGTGTTGTCAGATTTCGTGTATTGGTCATAGGAGTTATCAAAATTGTCCTGGTCTATTTTTAAATTATCAAAAAAAAATTTATGTTGCTTTATTCGTTGTTCTTCATGGCGTCTATTTTTTTTAATGTTTATTAATTCTTTTGAATCCGAAGTCCTTCCACCATTAGATGATCCACAGTTGGGCATTCTAGGTATTTCAATAGACCTACTGCTAAGATCCGTTGAATTTCGACCATTAGCTAGACGGTTTTCAATTTTTTATGTGTATGCTCTTTACTAGTCGGAAAAATTGGAGCTTCAAACTCTAGTTTGAAATAGTTGGGATTTAATTTGTCTTTGATCTTAGTATTTCCATTTACTTCCATAAGCTCTTTTAACTGTTGGATATTTTTTACCCTTCGACATTATATTAAATTAATTTTATCAGATCTTTATTTTTTATATAATTTGTTTGCATTAATAAACAATGTCTATGTTTTAAAATTCAAAGAGTCAATTACTTCACTTATGCACCAAATTAATTGTGTTTAAGTCCGTAAAGATGTTTTTGCTTTGTTGGGTTTCATTGGTAAGCGACCTTTGGAACTAGTAGGTATTAATATTTGTATGTCTTTAAATCATGAAAGTAAATTTAATTTAGTTTACTTCTCAAATGTCGAAGAACGAGGTGTCAGTAAAAGTTACTCATCGCCCGCCTGTTGCAATGCAGTTCATGCAAGTTACAAAGTAGTTTACTTTAGTTAAGAATTTCTAATTCTGTTTACATTTTTATTAGTTTTCTTCATAAGTCGTTTATGGTTCTACATTTGTATGTATGATATTTTATCGAAAAAGGTTTTTCTTTTGGATTACAGTTAATTTAAAACTTGTTTGCATTCAATTTATCATATTTAAATAAGTTCTTTTGTACCATATTTTTAGTAAATGATAAACATTTGTTTTAACGTTGAACGGGAAAAGATAACTGGCACACAGTTTGCGTTTCAAAGTTGTTTTATTTTATTGCTCAATGGTTACATTCAGTCCATTTTCTTTGTCTTAAACATACAATTTTTTACACGGTTAATTATTATTTCCAACAAGAATATTTTTTTAATTAAGAATGTTGATTTACTATTCCCGAATATTAATGATTTATTTTAAAGCATCCTTTTTATTAAATTGTTTGCTTATATAAATTTTCGCAAAATTGTATATACTGCCACAACAATTTTCCGAATTACTCTCTTTCGGCCATTAAAAATAAAACTTAACGATGAAGGTGCACGAAGTCTATCCGAACAAAAGAGACCAAGGCAAGCCAGCGACACGAATCAAAATGACTGCGTAAGAGCCATTGCGCACACACTTATTTTATAGCGAACTCTCATCCATAATGTTATTTTTAACCCGTTTTCAAATAATTTAAAAATTACTTTAAATGTAAGACAATTTCGCATTAGAGTTGACATCAAATTACAAAATTAGAAGGTTACATTAAGATAAAAAAAATAGTTGTTTTTTTCACGTAGACAATTATTGGTGTAGATTTCGAAGTGTTGTTTACATGTAAATTTGCAGGATTATATACATTGTACGAATATTTTACGTGCAAAGCTAGTTTGGTCTCATAGGTTTTGAAACCAGATAGCTGAAAGTTTCAGGGACGGTAGATATTAGTAACATGAGCTTTGGAATTAATTGTGTTACTTCGCGCTTGTTTCGGAAAACTGTAATGCAATTACAGTCATGAAAAAAACTTATGTACATTTCTTTAATAAAGCTCGAATTTAAAAGATTTAAAATTTCTAGCTTCAGCACATCATTACTTTTATGCTGTATTGCTTCGACAAACAATACTGATTCTTAACTAACCAATTTAACTTATCACTCTGCTGAAGAAATTATTAGCTCTCTAGCTATAAATATATGGTCGCCACTTAAAGCCCATAACTTGAATTGATCTTTAAATTTTATTTTAAACTTTTTTAAATATGTAGATAGGTATTGATTTTAAAATTGAATTTTTGAACGATTTTGTGTGCAAAAGCAAAAATTAATTTGTACAACCCTTTAAAAAAACAATCAACAAAATTTGTTATAGTTCTAAATTAAATTTTACGTACTACTACTTATGCTACTAAATAGCAATTCAACAAAATGCGTCGAGCGACCAATCGACTTAATTTGCCTTCAAAACAAGCTCGCCAAAAATTGTAGGGTAAGATATTATCTAAAATTAAAAAAAAATATATTTCTTAAATGAAGAATGTAGAAATATTTTCTAAAAAATAAAAACATGTTCATTCGTGATATATTATTGTGTATGCGTATATATTTTGATTGTACATATAGGCCGTTCTTTCACAAACCGAACACCTTTTTTCAGTTGACATTTTTAATTTGCCTAAAACTTTTTTATATAGTATAATAGTATATATTCGGTAAACAAGTAAACAAGTGTACCAGGATTTGGCCGAAAAAAGATTATTTTGTAAAATTATTAGATTAGTTTGTAAAAAAAAAAAAAGCTGGTTTTCAAAAAGTACCCTCTGTTTGCAAGTCTATATAACCATCTGTAGTTATCACTTTAGTTATCTACTTTTTTATTTAATTTTTTTAAACACACAAAATTTTTAATTTTTTAAAAATAAAAACCAATTTTTATCCTTTCACTGCTTAATACCAAAAACCCAAAAATTAGCGATAGCTCAGCACTATTCATTACAAGAAAAATCGACTTGTGTTAAAATAATTACATAATAAATATATTAAGAAAAAACCTATAAAAACAAATAAAATAAACTTAAATTAAAAATTTAGAATTAGCAAAATAAATACTTATTTGATCTTAATTAAATATATTTCATTTTTTATTTAGAAACTATCAACAGATTGTTAAATACCTCAGAAATACAAACGCCATAAGGTTTTAATGAGAGCGAGCGAGATGGCTGCTGAAAATATCGGAGAGTTTATTACAAAAAATGCCTTTAACCTATAAAAAAAACACCGATTCTAGGTAATGAATCAGGGGAAATATTTAAAAATTTAAAAAAAAATTTCTTTTGTGGGCAGTGGTAAAAAAAATTTTAAAATTAAAATATGTTTTTATTTTTAAGAAATTAAGACTTTTGTGAATTTAAAAAAATGTATTTAAAAAGTAGAGGTTTTAGAAGATTTTATGCAAAAGACATGAAATCAATCGGATAACTACAGATGGAGATATAGACTTGCAAACAGAGGGTACTTTTTAAAAATATCTTTTTTTACAAACTTTAAAAAATTCTAACTAAAAAAATAATTTCTTCGGCCTAATCCTGATACACGTGTTTACTTATTTTACGAAAAGTATACGTAAAAAACATTTCTGGCAAATCAAAAATGTGAAATTTTTTTTCGGTTTGTAAAAAAACGGCCCTATGTAGGGATCTTAGTAATGTATTTACGATATGATGTTAGGGTTTCTTAAATGTTGGTTGAATATTAAGTATTCGCCCGAATGTGCCTGTGGTTAAAGAAGTAATGTCGATATAAATAAGAACTGCGGGGGAGGGGGATGGGGAATGTAAAAATTTTAACCATTTAATAATTTGTCTTCCTAAAAAATACTTACAACGCACATAAATTAGGTTGGGCAAACCGAGCATTGTATATAACCGGTGTAAGCAGACAAACACATGTGAATTCTACATGTAGAATAATGCACTACTTGCGTTTTGTATTTTAATGCAATTTATATTAAGTAAAGCCATCTAGGTTTATAGTAAAGATCTTGAACACAAAAACTGTGTGTCTTTATTTGCATAACTGAACTTTACCGTTTGACATGGTAATAGAACAATTTTTCATCAAAAACGAAAATAAAATAAATAAATGGTTGTCATTGGGCGCTGACAAGATCTGAAATTGAATAATTGGTACAACAGATAATGCAAAAACATTTATTTATATTTTTAAAAAAATATTTTTTTTTATTAGAAAGTGTTTCTATTCTTGGGTGCAAGAATAATTTTAAGGTTAGGGTAATCATTACTAGATAAGGTAATGCAAAACAGTTTTATTTTTTCGTTAGCCTTTCTATTTTTCAGGAAATAGTTTCTAAACATAAGGAAATTTTTTTATTTTTTAAGGGGCGATTCTAGTTTTTGATAACCATTTCCTATATTTAAGTAACGCCTTTTTGAATTAAGTAAAATTTCCTTGGCTTTAGAAAGAATTTTCTTGTATTTAGAAAAATCAAGGAAGAATGCTATAGTCGAGTACCTCGACTATTAGATACCCGTTACTCAGCTAAATAGAGATATGCAAGCAGCAAAGCGAGATTAAAATGCGCCACCTACCGGCGGTATACAGATTTAAGCGTTATGGGCGTTAGAGTGGGCGTGGCAAATTTTTTTTTGGATCAATCGATAGGTATTGACGAGACTAATACATTTCAGTTAAAATTTTTTATCTAGCATGAAAATTGTGGGCGTCTCAGGTTTTCGCGGTTTATGGGCGTTAAAGTGGGCGTGGCAAACTTTTTTTTTGGGTCAATCGATAGGTATTGATGAGAACAATACATTTCAGTTAAATTCTAGTTTTTATTCTAGCATCAAAACTGTAGGAGCCACAGTTTTGTGCGGTTTGTGGGCGTTAGAGTGGGCGTGGAATCAGCACGCCAAATCTCAATAGCCTAGCTCCCATAGTTTCCGAGATCTCAGCGTTCATCCGGACAGACAGACAGACGGACAGACGGACATGGCTAGATCGACTCGGCTAGTGATCCTGATCAAGAATATATATACTTTGTGGGGTCGGAAACGCTTCCTTCTGCCTGTTACATACTTTCCGACGAATCTAGTATACCCCCTTTTACTCTACGAGTAACGGGTATAAAAAATGTTAACGTAGTTTTTCTAAAATCTAGGGTCAATTTTATTTTTAATATAATTACCATGTTTTTTTACACTCTTAAATGATGGTAAAAAGGAACACTAAGTGAAATGTTCCGCAGTTCCTCGATAACGTTTGACGAAATTTCGAGCTATCATTCTTAACAAAAATTTTTTTTTTATCTGTATTAATTTTTAGTCACTTGTCCTTGCTTGTAAGGCTTTTGCCTTAAAAAAAACAACAAAAATTCAAGAATAATTGTCGTTTATTTATATAACTTATTTATTATCTTAAAAGCAATTTACCATTAAAACAAAAAAGAGTCACCATACTTTCAGGAAAAATCGCATTTGAATTCTAACACTTTTTTTCTTGTTTTAAAGGCGGTTTACCTTTAACAACACAAAAATCACAATTTTTGCCTTACCGCCATTGACCCCCGTTTTAGGGCGATTTCCATGTTAAAAAAGCCTCCAATGATGCTAGGTCCCAATAAAAATAGTATTTTTACATTTTCTTAAAGTTTGGTATGAAATCAAATTAGTTTTTGCGATACCATTCGATTGGTACTCACAAGTTACGCTCGGATCCTCGCCGCAGATTTTTATTTATTCGTGTATACATAGTAGTTGCCCTCGCGCACTCTATGTGTGCCAATAAAAAAATAAATCAATTACCAAGAAATACTTTTTGTCCACGCTTAACAGTTTATAAAGTTTTAGGTTTTGGACGACTTTTTGTTAGGTTGAATACTAGGCCTTATCAAAATTAAAATTATATACAAGTTTTGTTGACGTTGTTGACTTTTGGGTGGAAATGCCCATATAAGTAGTGTTTGTATAAGAGCTCCTGGTCATAGAATGGGTGTGGTTTTTGCATTCATTAACGAAAGTAAACGGAGTTCTAATAGAAGCTTAAAATAGGTTTTCTTTGTTTGTGGAATACAAAAATGTAGTTTAAGATTTTTTAA